GTGGGGGTGGGTGGGGGGGAGAGGTCCCAGCTATCTGGGGCCCCTCCTTCCTGGGGAAGACAGAAGGGATGGACCTGAGTAGTCCCAGGGAGCAGCGCTAGGAATTGCCTGATGCCAGGTTTAAGATTTCAGCTCAGTAAGAGTGTTTGTTTCCTAGAAGGACCGTGGGATGATGGGGTAGGCCACTGTGGAAGGAACGAGGGAGAATGTGGCAGGGAGAGCCAGCCCTTGGGTGGGTGGTTGAGGGTCACTTCCTACCCCGTGAGCTGGGGTTTCTCTGGATAACAAAGAACCAGTCGACATTCTCCTCACCTAGGCGGCCTTCAAACCGTTGGAGATGCTAAATACTGCTTTTAAAACCCATTTGCATGCCCTAATTCCTCAAAGAGTCCCCTCCTTGAGTTTTCCCTGTTGTCTTCCTGTTAGATTTCCTTTTTTTCTCTGATGAAAGGCTACAGGTGGCGGGAGGCTGGCGGGAGACAACGTGCTCAAGACCTCCTGCTTTGGCTCAAACCAGTGAAAAATCAGACAGCGACACTGTTTTCCTTAAAACCTCCCAGTACATTCCCACTGTCCTCAGAAGGCCTTTGGGACCCTGCTCAGCCTGGGTGTTCCGCCTTCCCCAGCCCCCAGCCCAGCTCATCCGCTGTCCACCCTTCTCATCACTCTGGCCTCCATGCTGTCCTGTGCTGTTTCCTTGGCCTAGAATGATGGTTCTCAACGTGTACGTGTGTGTGTGTGTGTGTGTGTGTGTGTGTGTGTGTGTGTGTGTGTGGTTATTCTACCCCCCAGGGAACATTTGGCAATATCTAGAGACATCTTTGGTTGTCACAACTCAGGGTGGTGGGAAAGGAATCCAGTGGGTAGAGGCCAGGGGCGCTGATCAACAGTCCCCCACAACAGTTCCCCACAACAATGAGTTCGCTGGTCCCCAATATCAACCGTGCTGAGGCTGAGAGGCCTTTCTAGAATGATCGTCCCTTCTTCCAGGTCTCAACTTCAATGTCGCCTCCTTGGAAAGCCCTTTGCCAACTGCTCCCGCCACAGTAGTCCTCCCCATCGCATGTTACTGGCTCCCTCTCCATTGGTTTTCCTTCCCTAGGCCTCCGTGAGTTGTCGTCTGTCGTGTATACATTGTTGTTGGCCGGCTTCCTGCCTAGCTCCTCTCCTGGGCTCTAAGCTTCACAATGAGGGAACTCTGTTTCACTCACTGCTGAATGCCCAGGGTCTCAGATATAGTAGATGCTCAATAAATAACCCATCGAGTACATGGTTGCTTAGGAAATAAGCCCACAGAATTCCAGACCAACCCAGACCTCAGCATCTCCTCAGTGAGGAGACAAAACCCCTCTCCCACCTTGAACAGCCCAATCTCTCACCTCCAAAGAGGCTTTTCTGCCTGTTGTTAGCCTGTGTTTTCTTCCTGCTATCCTGGCACCAACCAGTCTTTCCAAAATTCTCACTCTGGCACTGGAGGTCAGGGTATTTTTAAACTAAAAGCACTAGCCAAGCTGGTCTTTTTTTTTTTTTTTATGTGGTGGAAAAGAAAAACTAAGTTTGTTTTTAATCATTAGACTTTCAGATCTAAGAAGGCATGATGAAAATAGAGCTTTGGCATAAACAATTGCTGCCTGCTCAATGGAGGGAGGGAGCCGTACTTCAGAGCTAATTTAAGCTAACTACATGGCAGCTATTTTTCATCTCTACTATTGTGTAATTTTCTCCTCAGCTCACGGTCCGGGGAGATGTTATCCGGCAGGAGGAGGTGGTGGTGGTGGTGGTGGTGGTGGAGAATAAGGGAGAAAGTAAATGAAGAGGCCACAGACGGAAAGTACTCTCAGCCACCAAACTGGGTTATTAGAAGTGTTTCAAGAACTCGGGAGTGGAGCTGGTGGTCCACTAGGACCCCAGGAAATTCTCTCTGGGCGAAATTCTCTCTGGTTGAGCCTTCCACGGGAGGAAGAAACTAAAATGCAATTTGGAGTCAGGTTCCTCGTCCTGTCCTCTCTCTGGAACATTCCCTAACTTCACAGGTGTCCAGATCAAACAACAGAAACTTTTATGAAACACCTCAAATAAAGAACGGACCCTCACTGCTCCTCCTACCCAGTACCACACTTATATACCCCTTCCAGAAAGACCCGAGAGAGCTTTCCAGCACAATTGTCACGTGGCTGGGGAAGCATTCAGACCTTGATGGGAAGCTGTGCCCTGGAGGACAAACGCTCTCTCTCCAAGCAGGCTGACTACCAACTGGGATCATGGAAAAGGGTCTTATGCACAAGGCCTTCCTGCATTTTCCAACTTTCCTGATTGAACAGAAACCTTTGGAGGGCTGTCAGGGGCTGTCCACCAGCTATCGCCAAGACTTCAAATGACTGGATTTCTGGAACTTTCTGAGGTCTTAGTTCTAAATCCACCTCTGCTCTAACTTGGGAGAGTTTACCTTCCCTTGCTGGGCCTGGGTTCCTTCTTCTGGAAAAAGAGGGAAGACATGAGATCAGAGATGGTCACTCACGTCCATCTCAAGTGGCAACTTGGATGCCCTGAGACTGCATCTGTGATCAGTAGGAAGGTGTGCTGGGATTGACTAGCAATGACTGCCAAGAGTACAGGAGGGGGCAGCGGTGGCCGAAATGTCACCTATTTGCCCTCCTTGGACTAGATCCTTCTAGATCTTCATCCTAATCACTTGGTTGAAGATAAAAATTCAGGTGAAGCCCTGGCTGACCCCTCAAGGGCATGACATACACTATTATTTCCACACCGGTCTCCAAGCCATGGGAGGGTGGAGAAGTCACCCGCACACAGCAAATGTGACCCCTCCATTGGAAGATATGCTCAACTAGCGTTTTCCTTTGTAGCATCCTTGTTCAGGGTACTAACGTCCACATGCGTGGACCCGTCATCAGGCCTGGGTAAGGAATGGGAGGTGGCAGGGGCAAGGCTCAAGCTTTCTGGGGCTCACTCAGCTTTTCCTACCAGCATTGAATGGAAAAGCAGGCGGAGCTGGGGACCAGTGGGGACCCCAGGCTCATCTGTCTGCCCAGATGCAGCTCGATCCGTTTCCAGGTTCCTCATCCACAGTTCCAGCCTCTGGGGGGACTTAAGGGCTAGATGGGGCCAATTGACCTTTCCCAAATCCTAAAAGGTGACCCAGAGATGCTGTTCTTTTCAGTGGGCCAGTACATTCTGTGGGCCTTTGCTCTCAGAGTACCATGCAAGCCATCAAGTCATATTCACAGAGGTCGATCTTACTGGGGATTCTGGACACAGCCTGGGAAAGCTTGGGAAGTGTAGCCCACTGACGGTCTTTTAGAGGTTTCATCACACAACAGTGCCTTACAAGCTCTGAGAAGTCCTGCAACCAAGAAAGAAGTTTTGCTTTGTTTTGCCTAAGCATTTCCAATGCACGTTGGTCCTAGATCCCTTCCAGTAATGCATATCCAGCTAGCCTGCTGTGAAATTAAAGGTCTATGGAACACGCTTGGTAAACTGCGTCTAACCTGGATCATGTGGGCTCCAGGCAAAACCTAGCTCCTGCAGCTCAGTCCTCAGTAGAGGGACGGCAACCGTCTCCACCCCACTGAGATAAATCCTTCACACGTCTTGGTGTTAAGGGGCTGTGTAAGCCCAAGGAGCAAGGAGGGAGGACCACTCACTGGCAAGCCAATTGGGACAGAAGACCACAGTGAAACGTCCAGGGTGAGAGAGGAACAGTGAGAGAGAGGGCGAGAGCCAGCCGGAGCGGGCAGCCTGCGTGGAGGTGGGGTGCGGGAGGACCCGGGAGCAGCTCGGCCAACCCAGAGGCATGCCTTCTGGAAGCTCCGCAGCCGCTGGCAGCCGGTCAGTCTGGGGGTACACGTGAGAGCTTCCATGCAAACTCCCACGAGGGTCCCCACCTCCCCTGCACTTTCCTTCAATGACGTCCTATTTTTCCTACTTGTCTCCTGGTTACTAGCAGCAGATCGTGTCGGAGGCTGGAGCTGTCACATCCCGATGGTCAGCTGGGCGTAAAACACTCAAAAGGGTGGTGGGTTCCTGGGAACAGGTGAGCCCAAAGACTCATATTTAAAATGTTGCCTCTACTACTTAATAGGCTGATGTACATCTATTTGCCATAGTTACTTGGGCTGTGTAACGGGGATAATGGTACCTACCTCCCGGGACCGTCCCATCACGGGGATTCAGTTGCCCTGGCACGTAAATGCTCAGTGAACAGTGGCTGTTAAGAGATGAATCATTACTCTGCCTCCCAGGGCCCAGGGGCCTGAGGACACCTGACCGATGGGTTTCTTTATGAGTCACATCCATGAAACCTGGCAAATTCACTTGAGATCCACAACCCAGGGCCTGGCTATGGGAATCCCATGACTGCCCAGTCCCGCCAGCGGAGCCCCTTGGGCTGCATGCAGGGAAGGGCATCTGACCTCCTGTGCCAGTGCCTCGCTCTTACCCAGCAACCCTCGCTCTCTGCAGTCTGTACACATTTACTGAGCACCTACTATGTGCCAGGCACTGTGCTAGATGCAAGCACACAGATACGTTGAGGAGGTCCAGGGGACTGAAGCTCTCTCACCAACTCTCTGGCCCAGCTGGCTAGAAAATGGCATGGGCGGTAGGGCCTCAAAACGGGAGTAGGGAATTTGGGTTAAGAATCAGGAATGAGGCCCCCTGTGGAGCCAGGAAGATTGAGGACCTTCAAGACACTGGGTTCCCATGTTGTGGGGCCCAGGCTGACACCTATCTGCTGCAGTTCATTCCCCTTACAGGTGTGTGCAGGTGAGGGCTGGGGTGCAGGATGAGGGGAGGCCGAGAGCTGGGGACAGGGTCCACCCGAGGCTGCTTGGACACCTCCTCACGTCACGGGCAAAACCGAAAAAAAGACACAGCAAGCACACAGCTCACACAGGTCTGTGCCTGTGCCATGGAGTGAGAGTAGCCCTAAAAACAAACATCGTGTCACCAACCACTTCAGACTGGGCTGAGCACATGCATTCAATGGTCAAGTGACAGTCACACTACAGACAGGCTGCCCCCCCGCCTCATCCATGAAGCCCAGGACTGTTGGTCACCAGGGATGGATGTGTCGGTCAGGGGCAGGTTTAATTAACAGCGACAGCAATGTCCTGACCCTTGTGGCCCAGGGGTTCTGGGGACCGAACTCCCAGGGGGGTCTTCCACGGAAGGATCAAGGCACAAGAGAAAGCTCCTAAGAGGGTGTTATGGGTTGAATTGTCCTTCCTACAAAAGTCTTAGCCCCCAGCACTTCAGGATGTGGGAATAGGGTCATCGCGATGTAACTAGTTAAGATGAAATCAAACTTGAGTAAGGTGGGTGTCCTTATAAGATCCAATAGGACTGGTGTCCTGATAAGGAGGAAGTTTAGACACAGAGACAGAAGCCCACGAGGAGGAGGTCATGTGACCATGGAGGCAGAGCTGGGTGGGATGCAGCTACAAGCCAAGGCATGCCGGGCTGCCCGCAAACCCCCGGAGGTTAAGAGGAGGCGGCAGGGAAGGGTTCCCTTACAGAGGGAACCAGAAGGTGTACGGCCCTGCCCACACCTTGCTTTTAGACTTTCAGTCTTCGGATATGTGAATCCATTCCTGTGGTTTTAAGCCACCCGGTTTGTGGTACTTTGTTAGGACAGCCCTTGCCAATTCATACGGGCCGGGGGGGAGGGGAGGATTGGGCGGCGGAATAATTGGAACAAGACCAGTCATCAGGGGACGGGTGGGCGAAGTGAAGGCTGGCTGGGGAGGAGGGCAGGGAGGACCAATGTGAGGACGCGAGGTTGAGAACAAGTGTGGGAAAGAAAGCCAGGAAGTGGGAGGGTCGCCGAGAAGGCCCCTCGCGTCACAGCATCTTAGAAATATCCACGATCTTTGCTGGGGACTGAGCTGTGCCCCACAACCAGAATACATTCTCTGCCCCTACGACTCCCACCGCTGGCTCCTGTCCCTCCTCCGAGAGTCACAGACAAGCTGGTTTCATCTTTCATCGGACAGTTCTCTAGGTCAGAGGTTGACAAGCGTTTTCTGTAAAAAGCGAGACCGTCACGCTTGTCAGCTTAACGGGCCACGCGGTCCGTAGCCAACTCTGCCCTTGCAGCACAAAAGAAGGCATGGTCCATATGTAAATAAATGGGTGTGGCTGTGTGCCAATACAATTTTGTTTGACATTGACATTCGCATTTCATAGAGTTTTCACAGATCATAAAACCTTCTTCTTCTACCGGTTTCCCCCCAATGAGAGTATGTGAAACCCAGCTGGTGGGCTGGATATGGCCCACGGGCCATAATGTGCCAACCCCAGCTCTGGGTCTTTCAAGATAGTGACTGGGCCTGGGCTGTTACCCCTTCCTTCATGCTCTTCGATGATCACCACAGGTGATCAGGGGACAAGAATTGCAGGAGGTGAGGGAGCCTGGGTTTGTGTGTGGGCTGGGGGTGGGGGCAAATGTGTGCACGTGGGATCGGGGGTGGATAAGGAGCAGAACCAGGTTTCCTGAATATAAGAGTCTAGTCCCCAGAGGACCATCCAGGGACTAAGAATCCAAGACAGACGTGGAGAGAAAGGGGGCACTCCGCGGCAAGAAGAGATGTTTCTCTTCGACCAGTGGAAGGAAAACTAGGAGCAAAGGGCATTCGGTGGAGACTTGTGGGGGCATCCCCACAGAAGGCCCAGGGAGTGTTTCCCCTGCAAAGGAGTCCCTGTGCTCTGAAACACCTGTGGCCTGGAAGAGTTGGGTGGAGTTCAGTGTGCAAACCCCACATGCCCTTCAAAGAAGGCAAGGTCGAGGCTTCCTGGTGAATCTTCACTCTGTGGACTGGCCCACTCGGAAGCCTGTGTATCTGTGGGTTTGCTGAAAGAGAGGCACAGATAGAAACAAGGTGCTGCTGGGTGCTAGGCACCTGCCCGTGGCTGTGATGAGACAAGTGCGCGCGTGCACACACACACACATGCACACACACTCTTTGTGGTGTGGATTCTATAGGCGTCACAGGCGAGGCTGGCAAATCATGATGTAAAAATACAAACACCCCCTTTTCCTTTCCTTGCAAAAGATTGATGCATATGACCTCCTCCCAACACTTCAGTTAGTGAATAAAGGGCAAGGTCACCCAGAAAGCAGTGGTTTGGTTGCCTTCTGGATTGCAATGCCTGAGCAGTCCAGCGGGCCTCTAAACAATTCAGGGTGGTGTAGCCAGAAGGAGGGTGGCAGGGAGGGGCTGGAAGCCTGGGGCAGGCTGGCTGCCACAGAGACGGAGGAAGCTGGGGACAAAGTAAGGGCGTGGCAAAGAGGGAGGTCAAGAGCAAGTGACCTGGGACCCAGGGACGGGCCCAAGGAACCCTGTTCAGCAACGCAGAGAAGCTTCAAAGGCACAGGGAAAGTTGGGGCTTCTCCCTGCGTCCCCCAGGCCCTGTCCTCAACCTCAAGCTGATGCTACTGGACGGATGGAGAAAGCAGCCATTGGAGACCCTCTAGGGCTCTGGGGGACCACGGTCGTCAGTGCTGGGAACAGAGCGCCAAGAGGGAGCAGGTGACAGCTCTGGTGAGCATTTCAGCCTCGGAGTAGCTGCGCCCTGCCTGCTTCTCCCTCTCGCGTTTGCTCCCCCGGCACAAAGGTCCATGACAAAGAGTGGGGTCCAGGGACCTGAGATGTCTGGGTTGGATTCTGGGCCCTCCGGAGGCCGCTGGGAAGAGGCGAGGCCCAGGCCTGGGGTCGGCCCCCTGGGTGACTGCTGGACAGGGAGACAGCTGCTGACAAGAGCTGCCCCCAGCAACACCGGGATGGCTGGGGCTTGTGCCAATGTGTGTGAAATGTCTCCAAGACACACCGACGTTGAGCTAAGAGCCACGGAGTGACATGGTTCCCCAGAAAAGGAACATCCACTTAGGAACAGCCCACATGGGGGCCTTTGGTCTCTGCTCCCACGCAGGTGGGAGCGTAGGGAAGGCATTCGGGAAGGTTCTTTGTGAGGCACAGGGGGGTCCCCTTGCCCAGGGTCTTGGGAAGCATAACTAGCCTCGTCAATTTCCCAGTCTGGAAGCAGGCTTGGCCCCCCAGGGCGTGAAGATTCCTCTCCCCTCACCTGGTTGGATGCTGAGTCTGAGCCCAGGTAGGGTTTTTGAAGACTTAGTTCCCCTCTCTGGGAGGGAGATGTCTGGAGAAGGTAGCAACCCCGCCCCCTCCCCCCCCCCCCAAAAAAATCAAGCCTGGGCAGTGCCCAGGAAGTAAAGAGGAGCCGTAGGCTGCCCCTGGGCATGCTGCCGGCTGCCCGGTTATTGCCCTATTGGGGGGATAGACTTCCCTTCCGTGCCAGATCAGATGAGTAGGGTCCAGGGCTTTGGGAATGAAAGACCTACTCTTCCAAGGGACATAAGACAGGATCCTGTCATCCCTCTGCACGCCCGGCCTGCTTCCAGCAGCCTTCCTGTGGGGCCCTGGATCCCAAGGCGGTCGGTTGGGAAAAGTCGCCAGCCCAGATGCGGGGGTAGGGGGGTGGGGGAGGGGCGGGACGCAGGGGCACTGGCCAAACATGACAGACCTCTCATGTGGAGGCCACTCTAGGCCTCAGCACCAGGCTGGAGTTGAGACTGCAGAACCTCCACAAATAGCCTCCCGCTTTGCCTCCCCAGCAGGGCGTTTTAAGGGTGAAGGGGCGGGGGAGTCCTTTGCAAACGGGATGCTACGTGTACAGCCTACAACCGGAGACACACGTATCCCAGGGACCCGCATGGTCATTGTGGTGGACAATCTTAGCTGGTGTAAGTGCCGAAGCGGAGGGAGGGGAAAAGAATGTCCTAGAACCCCCTCCCCAGAGCCCCAGTTCTCAGGGCCCAGACTTCCGGGGGTATCATGGATGAAGGTGAGCTGTAAGGAGCCCCCAGAAGTCATCCTGGCTGGGGAGTCACTGTGCTTTCCATATGGCAGGAGTGGGGTAGGGGCGGGGTGGGGCGAAAAGGGACGACGCTCTCACAGAACAGGGGGAGAGGGCAGCAGCGGGGAACCGGAGCCCAGGGAGGCCCAGAAGTCAAGACACACAAAGCTGCTTTGCTGCGCTTCAGAGCTGTATAGGAAGGTGCCACAAACCACGACAGGCTTGGGTTGGGCCTCTGAGAACAGACGCTTACAACAGGACAGCTTAGTCCCCCTGCCCAGATCTCGGCCCTGTCGCTTCCACTAAGTTGGTGCGCAACTCTGCACGCCATCCCCGTCTTCCCAGAGAGCACAACTGGAACGCACTACACAGACACCAAACAGCCCAGGAAACGCTCCCGGAGCCGGGGCAGCCTGGCTCTTGCTTGTCAAAGTGAACCGAAAGCAGACGGCGTCGCGCACATAGACACACATGGACATACAGACTGGTCCCGTGAGCCTGCCCAGGGGGGCCTCCTGCCCATGTCTCCACGGCCCAGGGGCTCCGCATTCCGCCGATAGCCCTCCTCTCTACACGGCCCCGTGCCTCACTGATCCGTTCCGTGTCTCCCTGGCTGGTCCCGTTCAGTCCCAAGCTCAGGGGTCCCCAGCCCTGCCTGAGCAAAAGGACCTAGGTCTGGGGTACAGGGAAGCCTTCGAGCTCAGCTGTGCAGTGCTCCCAGGTCAGCCGGGGTCGGTACCCTCTGATGGTGAGCCTCTGGCCTCCTGAGCTGGCAGAGGACAGAGCAGGGAAAGACAGGTGGCTTGGGAGCTGAGGCAGCTGGGCGCCGTCCCTTTGTCCAACAGTCACAGCCTGGAGAGAAGGGAGAGAGTGGCAAGAGGTCATATGGCAATGTTGTCTTTTGTGAACTAGCACCCTCTCGGAGGGCCAGGTGGTTTGAGGCGAGCTGTTCCAGCCTCTGCAACAGAAGGAGGAAGGGACTGCTCTTGGATGAAGTCCTACTATGTGCCAGGCTCTGTGCCAAGTGCTGCACATACCTGATCTCATTTGAGCCTGAGAACAGCCTGCAAGATAGGCGCATTATACCCTTTTAACAGATGAGAACTGAGGCTCAGAGAGGTTCAGTGTTTTGCCCAAAGGTGCACAGCCAGGAAGCAGCCGGGACAGAATTGGAACCTAGAACTCTTCTCTCTGGGGCATGTAGCCTCTGGACTAGGGACGGTCACCCAGCATGTGGGTTGGGTTGAGGCCCTGTGGTGCTGGGACACCAGCCTCCATGCCGTGTGGAGTCGCGGAGAATGTTTGGTAAGGGCTGGAGGTACAGGGAGAGGGGGTGAGACCAAGGTGCTCACCACAGACTCCTGCTATGAGTAGAGGCTTTGCTGACTACTGTTGAGCCAAAATTCGGGCGATCAGGGGCAAAAGTTTGTGCCCAATCTCCCAGGATGGTTCTGGAAAGAGACCCAGAAGGGAAACAAGTAATCTTTGCCTAGAAGGTGGCAGAGTGGAGGGATCAAGATCATGGATTTAGGGTCTAGACTAACCAGGGTTCCAAGACTTGCTCTGCTCCTTGCTAGCTGTGTGATCTTTGGGGAGGCACTTAACTTCTCTGTGCCTTGGTTTTCTTATAAGTAAAACAGGGATAATAATAGTGCCTACCTCCTAGGGGGCCTCTTAGGATTCAGTGAGATGGTGCAGATAGAGTGCTTGACACAGCATCTGTCACACATGTGGTTAGTCAGCGATTTCCAGACGATAGATGCTGTGCTGGTGGTTGTGGTAATGATCTAGACCCGTGCCATGCAATGGACATACAATGCAACTCAAAAGAATTGGAAGCAAGAGCGCGAATAGATACTGATACACCCACATGCACTGCAGCATCATTCAAAAATAGGCAAAAGGTGCAAACAAGCCAACTGTCCATCAACACATGAATGGACAAACAAGATGGAGTTTACACACAGTGGGGTATTACTCAGCCATGAAAAGGAACGACATTCTACTACTTGCTACAATGTGGACAGATCTTGAAAACATTATGCTAAGTGAAAGAAACCAGACACAAAAGCATACAAATATTGTATGCTTCCACTTATATGAAATACCTAGACTAATTCACAGAGACAGAATGTAGATGAGAGGTGACTGGGAAATAGGGATTGGGGAGTTATCATTTAATGCAGCGGTTCTCAACCTGTGGGTTGCGACCCCTTTGGGGGTCAAACCACCCTTTCACAGGGGTCGCCTAAGACCATCGGAAAATAAAAAGATACTTACATTACGATTCATAACAGTAGCAAAATTACAGTTATAGAGTAGCAATGAAAATAATTTTATGGTTGGGGGTCACCACAACATGAGGAACTGTATTAAGGGGTTGCGGCATTAGGAAGGTTGAGAACTGCTGGTTTAATGGTTTCTTTTGGAGGTGACAAAAAGTTTTGGAAAAGTGGTGATGATTGCACAACATTGTGAATGTAACGAATGCCACTGAATTGTACATTTACAAACGGTTAACATGGCCAATTTTATGTCATATATAGTCTACCACAGTAAAAAAATTAATAATGTAATATACCCAAACCTGCCGACTTGCACATTTTAAGTGGAAGATTTATATATGTGAACTACACCTCAACAAAGCTGTTTATAAAAGGAATACCATGTAAGTCATCTCTGTTGTAAATGTTCTAGTCATATTTCAGAAAGTTAAAAAAGTGAAATTAGTTTTAATAGTATATTTTGTGTAACCCAATAGATCCCAAACATATAATTTCAATATGTAACCAATACTGTACATGTAATACAACAAATTACACTATATTAGTTTCTTTATACTACTTCTGAAATTTCCTGTGGGTTTTACATTTGCAGCTCATCTCCATTTAGACTCGCCACATTTTGAGGGTTCAATAGCCACACGTAGCAAGTGGCTGTCACTGGTCAGCAAGGGTCTAGATCCTTATAATTCAAAGGGCGGCGTGTGGACCAGCAGCTGCAGCAGGACCCTGTAATTGGTTGGAAATGCAAGATCTTGGGCCCCACCCTAGCTCTACCCAGTGAGAACCCGCATTTTAACGAATTCCCTAGATGATTTGAATACATATAAAGTTTGAGGTGCGCTGCTCTGGAACGCAGGCTTGCCCCGGCCTCGCCTCCAATTTACCACGTGCTAAGACACACTGGGATTCTAGAAACCACAGCTCCTCAGAGGTGACCCCTAGGAAAGGCAAACCCGAGACCCCAGGGGTGAGTTTTGAGCTATCCACCCACATCCTTGGATCATGCCAGCTCCAGCTGAGACCTCTTGGTGGGTTCCCTCTGCAGATGACAAAGCCCTACACAGGACCCACCTCCTGGGCCTACTTTAACCAACCCTCCCCCAAAACCCTGTTGACCCAGTCCGCTTCGGGAAGGACTCTAACATTGACCTCCACAACTAGATGACCATCTCAAAGCCAGGTGCATGTGACAGAGGAAACTATCAGAGCTGATGTGGTGGGGAAAGCAAACTCCAGACCGGGGAGTTGGAATCTGACCTGTGTTCCCAACATGTGGGTGTGGTTGAGTCTCTGGGCCATAGTCCCTCCATATGTAAAGGAAGGAAGTTGGATACATCTGGAATGGCCAGTGAAGGCATCTATCCCATGCACTGATGCTGAGTAACTGCTGGTGGCTACCAGGAGGACTGAGTGAGGGCACCTGTGCTGTGATAGATTAGCCATGTCTGCCACGAGTGCAGGAATAGGGCACAGGCCACACACACTTGGCATCCATGAAATAGGTAATCCCCAGGACTTTTCTACTTTGACGCCGAGACGCAAAGATGACCTCTGTCCCTTTGAGGCTTTCATTCATACCGTCCTGAATGTTATCTCCTCCGGGGGGCCTTCCCTGACCCCCTCCCCCCACCTAGAGCCCCCACCATCCCTATCACACACTGGTTTTATTGTCTTTTCGACACTGAACGCTATCTGAAATGATCCTTTGAAAACATGTCTACCTGCTTATTGTACCCGCTGCAGAATGTGAGCCCTATGAGGTCAAGGACTTTATTTTGTTCACCTCTGCATTCTCTCTCATAGAACGGTGTCCGGCACATAGTAGGTATTTCATACACACAGACTGAGTAAAACAATTGAATGAAGGGATGCATGAATGCATCACTGACCCTAACGTCCCATCGTGCCAGACCACAGGTTCCTTGTCCTTTGCTTTCGCAGTCCAACTCCACAGTAAACTATAGAAAGGGCCTCCTCCCCCTCCTTTCTATAGAAAGGAGGACTCCCCCTCCAACCACTCAGTTTTATGCCCCTTTGTTCAGTTGAACTCCTAGGAGGGCAGAGGCCACTGGGTGATGGCCTTAATGACATATGAGTTTTATAACTCCAGTCACTTATGGGACCTGCCCAGAGCTCTGACACTAAATCTCCAACTTGGCCAGGAGGGAGGTCCCCAGAGAGAAGACACAGCCACTGTCTCAGATAGAGCCACTGATCTCCAGCCAGGAATAGGGGGGAGTGTAGGGCATGTAGCCTCTTAATGAGAAAGCCAGAGAGACATTCATGGCAAGGAGTAGCTGAGAACCTTCCCTGTCCTTGTCTCTCTGCACCAAAGAATGCTGAGAGCTGCCGTGATGGGAACAGGCTGCTGGCCCATGGGGAAGATTTTCTGAAAGCTAGGCCTCATGGAGGGGTATGTTGAATACCTCACCTGTGGGGCTTGGTGGGTTCTGGGCACCACCTTACCACAGGATGCTCTGACTCACTGGGCATCAACCTTCATCAGAAGAATCAGGCAATGAGGTAGCCATGGTAACCACGGGGACCAAGGTCCTGCATGGCAGACTCTAGTTCCCAAACCCCAGAGCAGACTCCCCCGAACAGAAACCTGGTAGGCAAGGGTGGTGGCCAGGGAAGGGAGGTGGATATGTGGAAAGGAGAACGTTGGCAGAGGAGTTGGGGCGACGAGCAAAAAGGTGACCAAGGCCAGAGGACAAGGGCGATGGGGACAGAGGTTAAGGGAGAAGACCTACTCTGCAGACTTCCAGAAATGTCCGGGGTGAGACAGGCGGCGGTTTCGCTTTGGCAGTTTCTCTAGCATGTCCATGAGCTTGGTGAAGGTCGGTCTCTCTTCCTGTTCAAAGGCCCAGCAGAAGAGGAGAATGTCCTAAAAGAAACCAACAGGGGATGATTTGGCATAAATGGTGACTTCCTGATGACTCCTTGGCACCTCACTGGCTCTGTCCCTTTGTCTACCCGTTTTCCCCGCTTCCATAGTCCTCCATCACCCATCCATCCATCATGCATCCATCCATCTCTATACATCTCAGTTCATGCATTCATCATCCATCCATCCATCCATCCACCCACCTTCTGAGCCCATACAGCGCACCTCTCCGTGAGCCCATATATGTAAGCCCTTTCTAGAAGGCCTGGGATATACTGAGATCAATAAAAAGCTCCTCAAGGAGTTTCTGGACATTTTTCTCAACAGGGAGGGAGAAAAAGGAGTCCTGAGGTCTCCATCGACATTCCAATACTATAAGTAGCCTTCCAAGTCACAGAGGGGAAAATTACTTTCAGTGATCTCCTCACCTGAGAAAGGAAACCTAGAGGCAGGTAATACTTAGAAACATACCAGATAATTACCCCCTCCCTGATTCATCTGTCTCCCGATGAAAAGAGGGATTCTTCCTGCTGCGTTTTAGTGGATAGATTATTCATTTATACTCAGGCTTCTGTCTCTGTGTGTCTTGTTCTGAGCTGGATAATGCCTTGGACATTTTTTATGTGGATGTACATAAAATTAGAATTATGAATACAGGTGATACTAATGAACACCTTTTAAAACTGACAGGAAAAGAGGGATTCGCTGGGTCTAGAAGCAATCCATTGCTAGAAAAAGTCTTGCCAAATGCTACTGCGCCCCTGGTGGCAGAAAACTGAATTGCAAGCATAGTTCAGAGGTTTTGCCTTCGAAGCGCCAAATCATTATAGCACAAGGCTGTGGGCACGCTTTTTTTGGTCACCCTTTGGGAAGGCATTTATAACCTTGACACCCCGGAAAGAGAAGGCCCCGAACAGTGTCTGCTTCTCTTCTTTGTCCCCCAGACCTGGCATTATCCCGGACTTACCGAGATTTCTTTTCCCATGCCGATCTGGCTGAGGTTGGGTTTCATGCCTGTGCCCATTTGCCAGATGATTGCCTCTGCTGGTTGGGTCTTGAAAGGCCACTCCCTGGCGTGGAGTTCATACCAGATCGTTCTGTCGGCAGACATTGTGAAAGGGCCATTGGTGTGATGCATCGCTCATATCCTCTTACCAACATACAACCCCTCAGCCGGGCTCTAGGCTGATCACTCTGTTCTCTAGCTTCCTCCTCATGGGGCTGGTGCTTTTTTTTGTTTTTTGTTTTTCACTAGGGAAGTACTTAAAGCTTTTTCAATGTCTTAGAAGTCATATTTATCCTAAGACAGCTTCCCTGGTGCCTGAATTAAAATGAATCAAAATCTAGAACATGAATGGCTTAAGAGAGCGTGGCTAGGATCTAGGGACCTCTACTTGCAATTCTAGGAAAACACTGTAAAGGGAATAATTAAGGATGCAACCATCATTTACTAGGATGCTCTCTGCAGCAATATACATAATATCAAAAAAAGGTAGAAACAATGCAATGGTCAATAAAAGGTTGCATGTATTACAGTAAGTCCATAAAATGAAATGGAATTCTCTACTATTATGAAAACATTTCAAAGAAATTTTGCCAACATGACCAACGTTCTGTATATATAATTTTAAGTACAAAAAGCAGGGCACAAGATTGTATATAAAGGCATATAAAAGTCTTTTAAAAAACCATGACATATATATGGACAAGAGAATAAAGAGAAATATAGCAAAATGTTAACAATGTTAGCTAATTTGGGGTGATAGGATGAGATAGGATTTTCTTTTTTCTTTTGTGCTTGTGTTTTCTAAGTATGAACCATCCCGGAGAAGGGTGGAGAGGAAAACAAAGAAAGATCTCAGAGTCAGACTGCGCTGGGTTCGAGTTCTAATTCTATTCTATGCTGGTGGTATGGCGCTGGGGACATCACGTTACTTCTCTGGGTCTGGATTTCCTTACCTCCCAAATTAGAACAATGATAAAACTGTACGGAAGAACGTTTAGCTGGGATGCTGAGTGCCAGACCAATTCGATGCCAGAAATATTCTAGAAGGATTGACCATAGCACCGTTTGTTGCATACATCATGACACGGCGATGGCTGAAGGAAGGGCTGTTCCGGGAGGAGCATGTGGGGATGGATGGGGCAGTGGGCTGCGCAGGGCTGAAGTGATGCTGGGAGGTGTGGGAGGCAGCGAGGACCACGGCATGCTCACAGGATGCAGGGCTGTTGCTGAGCTGTACCTTGAGGACAGGTCTCAGCTCACTGAGAATACGATTCCTCAACTCACGGGACTACCCGAAACAATCCCTAGGAGCTGATTTTTCCTCCACTCTAATCTATGTAAATTTGCTTTAAAAGACATGAAGCACCCTTGTATCCCCTTGACTGTGTGTCACACCAGCTATTTCTAGGGTTTCACTTCTCCCTGAGGGCTTACTCTCCCCTGCCAACCTCATCCTTCCCGGGTGGGGAGGGGTGGTGATGCTCAGGTGTCGGGATGTTGCATTAGACGGTCAGGAAGTTCTCAAGGTAAGTACTAGGTGGTCACGGTTATCATAATAAACCATCACACTTACTGGGGTTTTACTCCTGTGGTATGATGTGACCCCGCCTTTTGGGAACTGTGAATAACAAGCTGTCTTATCAATGGCTCTCACTTCCTGATCGACTGGCCTCAATCCTACCTAAATAAGAACAAAACCTCTTTAAAACAGGAGGCACGGGGCCAGCTGAGTGGCTCAGTTGGTTAAGAGCTCGCTCAAGAGTGTGAGCTCTGAGCAACAGCGGTTCCAGTCCCGGCCTGAGCTGAGCTGCCGCTGAGCTGCCAACAGGTGGCAAGATGGCTCAGCTAAAAAAAAAAAAAAAAAAAACCAAAACAAAAAAACAGGAGGCACTATCATGATTCCCATTTTACAGATGAAGACACTGAGACCCAGAAAGGTTATGTATCTTACCCAGGGTCACAAAGCAAAAAAAAAAAAAAAAGGTTGACTCCAGTTCACCTAGCTACAGAACGGCACAACTGCCCATTATGCTATCCTAGAAAACCTACACTCCCTCCTAGTAAAGCGTCCTTATTAACTGGGGCAGGAACCATTGGGGAAGGTAACCCTGTAATTGACGGCTGGGGCCTGGTGAAGGAGGCATGGATAGACTGCAGGCCCCGTTCACGCGAAAGGGGAAAAGGAGACTCTTAGGCTTTGGTGCTGTGCTGGGTGCCTCACAGGCGTTTTTTCACTCAATCCTTAGAACACCTCAGTGGGTTTTAGTATCTTTAATTTAGGGTTACAGAAAGTAGGGCTTTGAGTGGTGAAATGATTCTCAAGTGTCTGTGGTTAAAAGCACCAACTCTGGAGTTAGGATGTCCCCAGGTTTGACCCCCATCTCCACCACTCATGACTATCAGGCAAGTCCCTGAGCCACTTGAGGCCTCAGTTTTCCCAACTGTCATTTGGGAACGATAGCTGCTTCAAAGGGTGCTTGCGAAGACGGCATGAGACAGCACCACGGAAACCTTAACATGGTGCTTAACAAGCTTTTAAAAGTCCGTTTTGTTCTAAGTCATGCCTGAGTATGACATTCCCAAGCCACAAGGTGCACCTAATTGGCAGGAAACCGGAACACCAGGTCCCTTGGAATTAAGAGTGTCAGGAATAAAAGCCTCATTAAAACTTCCTTTCAAACCCAACTTCCAAGAGACATGCACTTGAAGAAACGAAAATTGCTAATAACGAAAAGGCCAGGGCAAACCTAATTACTTACTTTGGTACATTTGGTTAATGATATTCTTTTTTTTTTTTCTCAATGTATATGACAATACACCAACTTAATTACTGCAATTTGGTTTCAGATAACGATACCTAACTAGATAAAGATTGGGGCATCAACTAATCAGAGCAAACGACAGTCTCTAATGGGATTCAAGGGATAGACATTGAGAATCCTGACATGCCAGCAACACCCCTGATTCCAGGTTTTACAGAGAGGATCCAGTGGGGCTCCTTTTCCATGGACAATGGTCTAACGTCTCTCGGTGGCGCAGGCCTGCACACATCTGCAGGTCTGCAACTTTCCCAAACGGCATCTCCAGCGTTATCTCCACCAGTCCTTGCAAGCAGCCCATGGAGGAGGTGAGGTGGGGGTTAGCATGGCCATTTGAGGGGCGCAGAAGCCTTTTTGGTTGCACCTTCTCAAAGCACTCTGCCCTCCCTCTTAGGGCTGTGTGTCTAGGACGCTCTCCCCCATCTGCACTTGCAAAGACATGCCATTCTCTCCCACGGCTGTGGTTACTCTTCCTTTACTGATAATCCTCACCTCCTCTTTCCCAGACTCTGAATGTGCAGAGTCAGCTGCCCTCTCTGGTTGGTCCCATGGACCATATCTCCAAGGCAGCTCAAACTCACTGTGTCTAAATCCACTCTTTGCCTGCCACCTGCCCCACCTCCAGGGGCTCTACCTTGGCAAATGATACCACTCTCCACCCAGGTGCCGAAGGTAGATATTTGGGCACCATCCACATTCACTCCATCAGCTAACCCTATCACTCCCACTTCCTAAATGCTTCTCCATCGCCTGTTTTCACACCCACTGACACTGATTCAGTGGAGAGCACCAGCATCTCCGCCTGGACGGGTCACCCAGCTTCAATCTTGTCCTTCACCTTCCCATTCTCTACACAGGAGAGCGACTGTTCTAAAACTCAAAATATTATTAGGTCACTCCTCCTGCTCGGTAACCATCAATGGCTCCCTAGTGCCGCGAAGGTCAAGGGAAAACTCCTTCACTTAGCCTCTAAGTCCCTGCAGGGTCGACTCTATTTCCCTCTCTCGTCACTCGTCTCACCACCCCAGCCTCATTGCCCCCTGATTCTCCATCTCTCAGGACCCTTTCCTCGCCCTGACTCCCCCACATGTTCCTCCACCGCGGGCAATTTGTTTCCTTTTACCCTTGCGCCTTTTCGTGTGTTCCTTCTATCTGGAATACCTCCTAATACCCTCACCTGGCCTACTTGTAGTTAACCTTTAACGTAGACTCAGGAGTCACCTCCTCCAGGAAGCCCTCTCTGGTATCCCAGGCTGGATTTGCTTATTCCTTTATTCCCATAGTCCTGGTGTTTATCCTCAGCATAGCGGCGAGCCTGCTTTGTTAAAACTGACTGTGTTGTCTGTCTTCCGTTCTACAAGATTGAGTAGGGACCTGTGGTGGTTTTAAAATATGTCCACAAATTCTTTGAGACTCCTTCTTGCAAAAAATAGACCTAAATTCCCCTTCCCTAGACTGGATTTAGTGATTTCATTCTAACAGATACAACATGGCAGGAGTGAAGATACCATGTTTCTCCAAAAATAACACTGGGTCTTGTATTAATTTTTGCTCCCACAATCTACATTTATTTGTTTATTCATGTATAAAAATCTACATTTATTCAAACAGTCATGTCTGGCTGATGATCTTAACTGGGGCTTATGTTTGGGGTGGGGCTTATATTACGAGCATCCTGAAAAATCATGCTAGGGCTTATGTTCCGGTTAGGGCTTATTTTGGGGGAAACATGGTTATGTAATTTCTGAGACCAGGTCATAAAGGCAATGTGGTTCTTCTAGCTGCCATGTGGTGCGGTCACTCAAGCAGCCTATGGAGAGGCCCACATGGTGAGGAGCTGAGGCCTCCTGCCAACGGCCATGTGACTGGGCCACTTTGGGAGAGGAGCCTCAGCCCATCAAACCTTCAGTGAAACCACAGCCTTGGCCAGCATCTTGACTGCAACCTCATGAGAAATGGGGAACCAGCTCAGAGCCACTCTCCCTCAGCAAAGCCACTCCCAAATTCCTGACCACAGAAACTGGAGCTCATAAATGCTGTTTTAAGCCACTATGTTTCAGATAATGTGCTAATAGGAGGCATCTAATAAATAGCTCTTGCATGAATGATTGAAGGATGAATGAATGAAATGAATGAGTGAGTTAGGTAACTTGCCATGGTCACATAACCAATTAGAAACCAGGCATGAAGGTTGGCTAGGGTCACTGTCTACTCTACCCCACTCAGGTCGCCCCCAATCTCACCCAGAAATTCAGCCACCTTTGTCCCCAGAGACAGGTGCCTAGCTCTGAAGGAATGCTGCAAAAGGGCCCCTCTGCCTGGGCTGGGGCTCTCGAAGGCCAGGGTGGGCCACCTACCCGAGCGCAAAGACGTCTGAGTGCTTGGAGAAGGGGAGCTTGTCTTCCTCCGTGTCAGGAGACAGCTGGCGAATAATCTCCGGGGCCAGGTGGCACAGCCAGCCATTCTGGATGCGTAGCTTGTCCTCCCGCCTGGAGCAGCAAAGCACAGAGTGAGCCCCATGACACATCCCAGGGAGGACCAGTCCCCCCAGCACTGCCCCAAGTCCCTGGACCATCTCTGCTGGCTTTCTTGCAACCCCCTGTTGGGCACTGCCTGACCTTGTACTTGAGAATGAGACACAGTGGGAGGTGGTCTAGAGAGAGACAGGCAACACCCCAACCATCATCGGGTTCCTTTGCCTCTGAGGCACCCCCTTCTCCATCTCTATTCCACAAATACAGCCGATTCTCGTTATCCGTGGTAGGCACGTTCTAGAAAGTCTCCGCGAACACTGAATTAGCAAATATGGAATGGTTGCCTCCTAGGGGAAATACGTATACACACATGAGCTTGCACGCACACCTCTCGCACAGATCGTCTTCTTAAACCCTAAAGACAACTCACTCCAGTCCCTTCTATTTTACACAAGAGAAACCGAGCCTCAGCAGTGTTAAGTGACTTGCCCGGAGGCCGCCCCATAACCAGGCGCCAGAGTTGCAAAACCCCGTCCCACTGGACTCAGCGCTGAAGCTTCCTGCACTGCATGGCGTCACACGGCACCACCCACTCCCATCTCCATCTCCTGGTCAACTCTGTACGACTGAATCAAGAAGGAAGAGGGTCCCTTGGTTCATCCTCAGCTGGGAACACGTGTGTCAGGTGACTCAAATTGTTTCCCGACCCTGTGTGTGCTTGGGAATGAGTGTGAATGTGCCGGAGTACGGAGGTTGGGGTTGCCAAGAAATTCGATAGGTGAATTCGCAAATATGGAATCCGTGAACAACGAGGATTAACTGTATTGATGGAGCACCTGCTTATACCAGGAGCACAGCAGAGAAGAAGACCAGTAACAGGGTCCCTGCCCTCCTGGAGCCTGCCTGACCTTTGGTGGGGGAAGCTGACGACAAATGAATTCAACAAGTAGGAAAAAATACAGGCAGTGATAATAAGGGTTATGCAAAAAACAAAAAATGTAAAAGGGGCTGTGTCAAAGGTAAGAGGGGGTTTGCTTGAGGTAAAATGTGAGCTAAGATTGACACGACATAAAGGATCCAGCCAGCTACGTAAACAAGGAGAAGGATTTTCTAAGCAGAAAGGGAAACTTAGGACACAGGCCCACGGCGGGCCCTGTTTGGGGTGTTCTAGAATCCTAGAGAACATCAGTGTAATTGGCACACGTGATGCCATCCCATGGATCTGTTAAAATGGACACATCCAAGGGCCGGCCGAGTGGCTCAGTTGGTTAAGAGCTCGCTCAAGAGTGTGAGCTCTGAGCAACAGTGGTTCAATTCCCGGCCTGAGCTGAGCAGCCGCTGAGCTGTCAACAGGTGGCAGGATGGCTCAGCTAAAAACAAAACAAAAAAGGACACATCCAACCCCTTGTTGACGGGCCTGAGGCGGTTCTCCTTTCATCATTATAAATAACGCAGCCATGACTATCTCTGGGTCGGTACCATGAATCTATCCCTTCACTCACATCTGATTAGGATCAATTCTTAGAAGAGACAGGAAGCTGGTTCCCTTCTTCACACTGTTAAGTCTTTAGCAAGTACAGAACTTTCCATTTGGGACTGAAAGCTGACCTCCTACGAGGCTTCCCCTGATTCAAGACTCCCAGGAAAGGGCCACTTAATGCAGGGAGAGCGGGCAGGAGGGGAGAAGGGGATGGATACCCCGAACCATCCAGAGCGAGGCTGCGGAGACCTGAGGCTGGCTGAACCGTACGGTTCTTCCAGGGTACGCTTCTGAGCTACGTGAGGTGTGAGGCACTGTTTCCTTAACTGTGCTCATTCATCGCCCATAATGATTCTTGCCCTATCTGAACACCTTCCAGGGCAGCACTGTCCAACAGAACTTTCCATAATGGTAAAAATGTTCTCTATCTCTGCTGCCCAATATGGCAGCCACTAGCCAGCGTGGCTAAGGAGCATCTGAAATCCAGCTAAAGCAACGGAAGAAGCGAACTTTTAATGCTATTGATTTTAATTAAAGTTACTATAGCCATATGTGGCGAGTGGCTACCATACTGAACAGTGCTGCTCTAGACTATTATTTATGACAAATGGGTTTTTTTTTACTTATATATTTAATAAGTAACTTTTTAATGGGACCATTAAGTGGAAAGCGGCACTTTTTAAAGTACACATTAAAGTTAATATGGAAAATGTTCATTCACATTTTCCCTAAAGGCATCTTGCAGACCATGATGGGGGCAGGCGAGAATCCTGATGAGAAAGGCTCCAGGGCTTTAGAGTTCTGGCTTTGGTCAGGGCGATGGTTAGCGTGGGGGCTGGCCGTGTATTGTAGGATGTTTAGCAGCATCCCTGGCCTCTACTCACTAGATGCCAGTAGCATCTCCTCTCCCCGTGTTGTGACAACTAAAAATGTCTCCAGGCATCACAAATGTCCCTGGGGAATGGGAGAGCCCAGTTGAGAATCACTGTTCTCGTTTATACCTAAAAATCAGAAAATGGTCCACATTTCAGTCTTTCAGTGTTAGTGACGCATAACCTGCTCCTGGGCTCTATGCAGCAGACCCGATGAAATACATCACCCTCTGCCAGAAAACAGGACTCGACTCCCTTAGCCAGCCCTTGACTTGGCAGGACAATCAGTTCTTGCTTCTAGAATCGGGGACACCTGCAGGGGTTTAAGGATCCAGCTTGTGGTTTACTAGCTCTGTGACCTTAAGCGGACAGGAGTCTCCCTTTTCCCATCTGCAAAATGGGCACATTCATTTCACACGGCTGGTGCAGAGATGCAAAGAAGACAACGCAGGGTACAGGGCCGTGTCAGCTGCCAGGGCCACACAATTAGTGGACATCATTATTACCTATGGATTTTTTTTTTTTTTTTTTTTTTTGTATCTTGACTCAGAAATGAAATTGAGACTAGAGCTGAAGGTAAAAACAACATCCAAAAGGGGGGCCGAGGCATGGCCAGCTGACATTCTCTGGCATGACCATGCGGCTGGGAGGGGGTGGGGCGGGATACTGCTATGGAGAGGGCAAGCTTCCTAGATCCCAGCTCTTTCCCACCACCCCTGTTGCCTCTTCCTGACTCGCTGGGTCAGTGGGGGTTGGGAATTGCAGGGTGGGGCCAGGAGGAGGAGCGGTGGCCACTTGATAACCACGCGCCTGGGTCGGGCATGGGCACATGCCTGGGAGGGGGCCAGCAGCCAGGCCTCGCGGACACCCCGGGGTGTCCCGTTCCCATGGCGATAGGCCCACCAGTGACACACCCAAATCATCTTCATTATGGTTCTTGTTATGATTAATAACGGCTTGCGGCGGCTGGCACGATACTGCTGGCATCTAAGTGACACCTTTTTTGGGGATGGCAGAACAGCTGTAGGCTGGCCATGCTGGGATATGCTTGGGGAAGCCCTGGGAATATGTTTGGATGTTCAGGACATGCTTCTCGCTTCACTGGGTGACCCCCACCCCTGCCCCAGGCCCAGATCTCCTTGTGCTGGGCACCCAGTGCTGTGAATATCCCAAACCCTAACTGAGAGGAGGGCAGGAAGGCAATGAACTCCTGCGGAGCGCCTACTATTCACCAGGTTGCCCAACCCACTTAATCCTCAGAAACCCAGAACCGGATGGATTGTGGATCCCTGTTCTATGGATGAGGAAACGTGTAAGTGACCTGCCCAAAGTTGTGGAGTTTGTAATAAGTGACAGAGCTCAGATCGATTTGATTGCAAGTCTTTAAAACCACAGAGGGTAGGCTCCTAGTCACAATTCTACACTAGTTCCTGGAGAAAGAGCACCCTTAGGGAGCAGAATTCTAAACTAAGCTCCATACGTAACTGCAACAGGGATAAAAGAACAGGAAACCACTGCTGGCGGCTCGTCAGTAACCAAGAAACGTGGATTTCTTATTGGGAGTTGACGCTGAGGGCTCCCTGGCCCCGCGGGGCACAACCGGGTTTGTGTTGACAAACAGGCTGGGGCAGAGTGGGGAGGGGGTGCTGTCTGGGTAACGAGGCCACCTTGCCCTTGACCTGAACTCCCTTCCTAGTTGACACAGGCCTCCGTGAATGAACTAAAGGAAAGGATGCCTATGTCACTCCATTTCCTCCCTTCCTCCACTTCCTTTGGCTTCAGGAAACCAAGAATCTGAAAGGAGGAACATCGGAAGCCCTTCCCCCTTTTCTAGATTATGGACATGGCACTAGGATTGAGGAGCCCCACCTTTAAAAGAGCCTTGAATGAGGCTAAAAAAAAGAATCCTGCGGGGCCTTTTTTTGTCTGGACACAATGGCTTGAGTTCACAGTGCTGTCACCAACTGCTTCCTCTGCCCTTAGCGTGAGGTGATGGCAACAGAGGCCTGTGCTGGTCCCCTCCCAGCAAACCTGGAACACAAGTGCTGCCGGGGAGTCAGAGGGAAGAAAGAATCCTGTATGATCCAGCCCCCCTGGTCTCTTGCTTCTGACTTGAGCTCTCTTGCTTCTGACTTGAGCTCTCTGTCCATCTAACTATCTGTTGATCTATGTGTTCATTTTCTGCCTATTTATTTTCTTAGGTGCTGTAGATAGCTCTGGAGGCTGCGGTGAATTGGGGTGGGGGGAGAATGGGGGTGGGTGGAGTACAATCTGAAAAAGAAATAGAAGCTTCTGTTTCTTGCTGCATCACACAGAAATAGCCAGATGAAGTTTCACCAAATTTTGGGTGGTCTGATTTAGATGCAAGGTATTATAGTGCAGGAACAAATTCACGGTGTGTGTGTGTGTGTGTGTGTGTACCTCAAAGAGGTGATCAGTGGTTCTCAAAGCAGCTGAAACTGACACAAAATGACAGAAATTGTGAGACTGCCTTTCTGAAGAGGTATGCCATTCATTATAAGAGGCTTGATTAGAGAGAACACACAGGGTTTAAAGCTTGAGAGAGAGAGAGGGAGAGAGACAGAAAGAGACAGAGAGAGAGAGAGAGAGAGAGAGAGAGAGAGAGAGAGAGAGAGAGAGAGAAAGAGAGAAAGAATGCACACGGGCACACGCACACTCCAAATTAAAAATCACAAAGGGTAGACTTCCTGAATTACGGGTTGTTTGGGGTCAAGCTGTTTTTCACACAGTCAACTCAAGGCAAGCAGCTTGCTCTAGGGTGAGGGGCGCCTGAGAGTTAATTACTTAACGATGGTTAATGATTCTCCTGTGTGATACTGGCGAGTTATATGCAAATTCATACTAATTACAACAGCTCGGCAGCAACTACTATCTGTAGTGCTTCCTGTGCTCCAGGCACTGTGTTGGATGCTTGATGTGTGTTAGAGGCAGGCATCCTCCTACTCAACACTTTCCTCCCAGAGCAGAAACTGAAGTTCAGAGAAGTTCCACGACTTGACTAAAGTCACAGTAAATAAGTGGCAGAGCCAGCTGGGCCCCAGGTTGGGTCTGACTTTACGTCCCTTGCTTCTTAACTATAATCTTGCTCTACTAAAATGAATGACTTCATAAGAAAACTTTGAGCAAAACTCAAAGTGGGTGATTCCCACTTCCGGGTAAGTACTTGGGGGTAAGGGAAGAGTCCGCCAGTGAAAATTCAAGGGCAAGGACTTCGCAGGATTTGGGGATGCTCTGTGCCCACTCAAAGGCGCCATTTGCCGAGTCAGGCCCCACGGGAATCAGAACACGACCTGGGCATCAGCGCTACATCATCACATGACAGCCTAGCCGCTCAGCTAAGGGATCTCAGGCCCAACACCGAGTCTGGGTCACTAAAGCCATTTGGGATGATTTCTCTCCCCCCTCACGTTCCCCCCCCAACTCAAGAACCCTTCTGAGCCCTTCCACCACCTCTCACCTGCCAGCTTGCAGTACCCCGGAAATGCTGAAGAGCCCAAAGTCTGTGATCACCACTTTGCCATTGTCATAGAAGACGTTCTTGGACTTGAGGTCCTTGTGGAGGATTCCCTTGGCGTGGAGGTAGCCCATGCCCTGCAAAGAGCAAGGAAACAGGGGATTGCCAGAGGAAACCTGAGCGCTCACCGCCATCCTGGCTGGGGGTCATGGGTCACACTCCTTGCGTTGCCAATGAGACCACACTGAACAGCTGTAGAGCTGGGGCCCCAACGCAAAGGCTTGCAGGTGGGGCGGGAGAAGGCATGGCCGCTGGGAACAGGCAGGGTTCCCAAGACACAAATCTGCCACCACCCTCCGACCACTGGAAAACCACCTCCATCTAGCTCTTCTGCTTCCGGAATTAGAAACAAAGGACAATGTCTCTAGAGGGAAAAGCGCAGGACACACCTGAGCCGAGGTCCCCAGAGAAAGGAATTCCATCAACCATCTTCCCCCACATGCTCTTTGAAAAAATAACTCCCCTGCAGGGTCATTGTTTCTTATGTCTAGTTAATCCATGCCACTGCCAAATGCACTGTATTCCTCCAGAGACAGATCATGACACGATCATCAAGGACATAAGAGCCTACTGGTGGTCTAGCTGAAGGGTGAATGTCTAGATTTTTAAAACGTTTTTGTCTTTTTGAGCAGTCACATTCTTATTTCTTCTCACAGCTCAGTCCTGACACTTCCCATGGAAAGAAAAGACTGAATACAACTAATGAGGCACCTGCCAGGAAACACAGGACGTTCCGGTTTGTTTGAATCCCAAACAACACCCAACAATTTGATGTTTTCCCGGCAGCTGTGGGGAAAGCAATGGCTGACACTCCTGGGAATTCACGGATCTGCGGGGCAAGGGATTCTAACAGCGAGAATTTCTTCCCTCTGGGCTTTGTGCACATCTAATTATCATGGTGACGAGGCACCCGAGTGACAACAAACGCTGGTAGACCATCCCTAACGGTCATATCTCCGCAAAATTCTTAGAGACACATGGTCTGCCATTTTCAAGTCAAGTTTAATTCCTTTGAAGCCCAGACGATGGGCCTGTAGGCAGACCATGAGTCTTGGCGGGGGTGGGGGTGGGGCAGCAGTTTTCAGAGGTTCAGGGAGGAGGCCCCAGACCCTACGGTACCTTCACAATCTCTTGGGCAATCTGCCTGGTTTTGTTGACATCCAAGACGATCTTGGCATCTCTTACCACCGAATAGAGCGTGCGTCCCTTACAGAGGCTGAAAAACAAAAGGACAAGAGAAGCTGTTGGCAGCTGTTAAGATAAGGGTGACCCACAACAATTATTAGCAGTGACGCGTGATAGCGTGGACTCGTGGACATGCTGCTCTTATTCCTATGAGGTAATAAGCCTGGAACTGGACCTCAGATCTGGTTCTGGGGTGCGGGTCTGGGAGCAAGTTCTTCTGGGTTCTTCAGGATCTTTCTCATCACCCCCCTGGCATCCAAGGACACCTCCAGCATCTAGCCACGGTCCAGCTATCCCAGGGTCTCACAGGCGGGAAGATGCGCACAAACCAACAACACCTGTGATCCTCAGACACCACTCAGATGGCGCTCTGCTGGCCACTTGTCCCAGCTGCTCCCACTTGCCGGGCGCCGCTGCTGTGTGGGGGCAGTGATAAAGGACCAGCGAATCGGTGGCCGATGTGTACCAAGTACCATCAGCAAATGACGCATTCGAGCCTGTAGACCGGGGTATGTAAACGCCACTAATACTCCCCCGAACCAGACGCCTGTATAGATCGAGGGTTTTTCAAACTATTTTCAGCCTCATTGAGTTCATTTCCAGGACCAGATGAATGACAAGATGAAAAGGGACATTACACAGTGACAGGAACACCTTCTCGTTTAGTTCCCAGCACGATCATTCATCCTTTTCCTCCAAAGGGAGCCCAACTCCTGGCGCACACATAGCAGAAACTCAATATACAGCCACTGAATGAAGAAGTAAAGGAAGGAATGAAGGAATGACATAAAATGAATGAATGCGTTCTAGATTCACCAGAACATTCCCAGCCCCTAGGACCATGCCTGGCTCAAAATAGCTAAAGTTGGCTGAAAGAGAGAATAACATTAGCAAAGTTCATTTTCCATCTACCTCAAAATAAGGGCTTGACTTTTTCTTTGAATCTATGACTTTATTGCTGAAATACTCTAGGCATTTTATTCATTGCTTCAGTATTTACTTAGCTGATCATGTGGTTGAAGTTAGAATTCTGGTATCACAGAGGGTCTCAGTTTGAATCCCAGTCTGTTCTTTACTGTGTGTCTTTGGGTGGGTTACTTAACCCCTCTGGGCCTCGGTTTCCTCACCCATCCAATGAAACTAATGATGTCTACCTCGGAGAGTCAGCATGCGGACAACATGAGAAAAGCAGCTCAGTACCATGCCTGGCATCTGGTGGGAAGTGTAGCAAGGTGCTTAGTTAGAAGAAGAGAGGCCGAGGGTAAGACTCTATGGGTTAGAATCCTGGCTTGTCAGCTAGTGGCTGAGTGGCCCTGGGCAGGTGAGTTAAGCTCTCTGAGCCTCAGTTTCATTGTTAGTAAAATTGGGCTAACAGTTCCTGCTTTCTAGGGTTGTGAGGAGAATCGCACGAAATCAGGCACGTCCAGGTATAAGCAATCTCTCCAGGCCTGACACAGAATAAGTCCACAGGAAATGCTGGCTTTTGTGAGAGGTAGTAAATGATCAACAAACCTACACAGTTGTGTCAAGGTATCAATTATATATTTATGTGCACATCACCTGAGTCTAGTATCTATCCATCCACCTACCCACCCACCCACAATGCTACCTATCACTGCCCATGATCTTGGACGAAGATTCACTTCTTCACCTGCGTAAGGTGAGAGTCCCAGGGTAGCTGACTCATCGGGAGTCTGATTCACCTGTCCCAGGTTGCCCTGTAAGTCAGCAGGGGGCAGCTAGGATGACTCAAGGCTGTCCCCAGCCAGGCAGCATGTTTGCTGTGGCAGCCGAGGAGAGGTGGGGGTGGGTTGGGCTGCGCAGCCAATTAAGCTATGTTGACATTTACACATTCAGGATGGCAGAGACTGTGGGTGGGTTCCCTCCCCTGGATACTCTGTTCTTTTTTTTTTAAAAGATTTTTTTTTTATTGGGGAATTGGGGGGATGGGAACAGTGCTGGGGAATTGGGGGAAGGGGAACAGACAAGTTGCTGTCGTTTTGTTCTTCAATCTAGTTGTGGAGGATGTTGCTTCACTGGCCCCCCAAGTTGGCACCATCACTGCGCTCTTCCTGGGTGAGGCAGATCAGTCACCGGCTTCTGGACGGCCGCTCACTGCGGCTGCTGGCCGCTCACGCTGGCTGCTGGCCACACACGGTAGCCCATGGCAACCCACTGCCACAGGGGCTGCAGCCTACGCCGTCGCCGGCGACTCACGGCAGCCCAGCTCCAGGTTGAGCTGTTGTTCAGCATCTTAGCTGTAGAGGGCAGTGTCACTGGCCCTCATATGTGGGATCCGAACCGGGGCCCTCTGGCATCCCAAGCGAGTTCTTAACCATTGCGCCACTCGGCCGGCCCCTGGATACTCTGTTCTTGAACAGCCACCCACACTCATTACAGGCCAGAGCCAAGAAAATGCTGTCCCCACGCTAGACGGCAGAGCAAACACTGCAACAGGCTCTAAGACCCCCAGACTTTTCCTGCTCATGGTAACTGCAAACACATTGCAGACTTCAAATGTCCATATCTGCCGTCTTTTCCTGTGCACATCCTCCATTCCAGAAGCAGCTGCCAAAGCCTTTGCTTCTCTCACCACCCCACGGAATCTGGAGCCGCCGGACCCACGAAGGCTAACTGGTGGGATGTAAATTGTACGGCCACAGCTTACTCAGCACATCTGCTAAAGCGAAATATACAAATAACCCACGGCCAGCAACTCCTCCCCCTAACTAAGCACATACCCAACGGGCATGCACACGCACATTCACCCACAGACATGTACTAGAATGGACTAGACTATTCTAGCATGTTCACAGCAACCCGTTTGTGACAGCCCCACACTGGAACCAATCCACATGTTCATCAATAGAAAAATGGATACACTGCGACATATCCATGTAACGAAATACTATGTATATTTATACTATACTGTATGACAAACGAACCATTGCTAACTGCAGTGTGGTTCATAAATACAATGAGTGAGAAGCACACTGAATTTATATAATGTGCAAAAGCAGATAAAACTGATCCATGTGCTGGTAGTCAGCACAGGGGGGACCCCTGGGGGCCTGTAGAGGCTGGAAAGGGAATGAGGGGGTGAGGCGGGGGCGGGAGGTAATGTTGTGTTTTGGATGCTGGTTATATGGAAATGCATTTAGTGGAACTTCGTTAGCCTGTGCGCTTAGGATCTGGACACGTTGGCAGGTATGTTATCTTTCAAAAAATAAAAAAGCTTACATACTTAAAAAAAAAACCAAAAAAAAAACCAGCAAGAAAAGGATGAACAATCAATACATGGTGTTAAAATTTAAAAGGAACTACTAAGCCAATGCTGATACTCCTGGTATCCATTTCCAAAGTCCTCACTGTCTCAAAGGGCAGTGTCTGCAGAGGAGTTAGGGGCTCTGGGCCTGGCTGGGCCTGTCTCCCAGTGGGTGTTTACTGGGGCTGAGCTCTCCGTAGGAGCAGACATTAGGCAGGTGTCCAGCATGGCTGCGGCTTGGATCATCCAACTTAGTCAGTCCAAGGGTCCACAGCAACTGCTCTGAGCTTGGGATTTCTGTAACTAACACGGGTGCCCTAGAAGCCGCTTGCAGGGGGGGAAAGTGGGGAAGGGAGGGCCGGACAGGATGAAGGCTTACTGAGCACACGTGTGGGACCTATCCCACCTCCACGAATCCTCCCAGCGTTCCTCCAGGGTCCCCATTCTCACCCCTGCCTTACAGGTGAGGATACGGAGACCCAGAGGAGCGGAGCACCTGCTCACAGGTCCGCAGACATGATGTCAGCCTGTTCCTGATGTTTTTCTCACTTTGTCCTCCTCGGTGTGAGTGCTTAGTTATTGGACATGGTTTTTGAGCCATTAAAGAGACATGCAGGGAAGTGAGCCCACATCCAGCCTCTACCAGTTACTACTTGCTGGGTGATTCCGGGAAGTGACTTTGGCCTCAGTTTCCTCATCTGTAAAATGGGGATAATAGTGACACTACCATCTAACAGGTACTAAGCCTTTCTATATGTCAGGCTCTAGCCTAGCACAAGAGCCCCACCAGGTGGGTGCTGCCACTGTATTTCATTGATTGTAAGATGCCGATCTCCCCGCATTTTAATAACGTCTCTGAAATCAGAAAATGTCTTGTATTCATTGCCAGGTCAGGTTCACGGGCGCTGATTTCTTTCTTTGAAGTACATAAAATAAACGGTGCGTACTCTAATAGATCGCATCTTGGATTCAATGACGTCTGGGATCAGCCCCATTTTACAGATGAGGAAACTGAGGCTCAGGAAAAGTTAAATGGAGCTGGTGTTTGAACCCAGGCAGCCTGGCTCCAGAGCTCGGGCTCCTCGCCCCCGTCTTTTGCTTCTTAACAACTGTCTCTGAGACGCTGGCACGCCATAAGCCCTCAGTAAATGGTAGCTGTCATGTCGCTGTGAACAACAGGTATGGCAATGAAGATGAAGGAGGCCTGCTGACCTTGGTGGCAGAGTCAGTCTGGAGGTCAGGAGAAGGTGTTTTGGTGACTCAAGGATATGTGCGCACACACGCACGGGCGCGCACACACACACACACACACACACACACACACACACACACACACATCCTCCCTCCCTCCCTCTCAGGGTCTCTCTCTGCAGCAAAGATCAAGTTTCTCCAAGAAGAGGAACAAGGATGGCGAATTTCTCATCTCCTCTGTGGGCCACCATCTCTCCCAGCTCCGGCCCCAGGCAGCTCACATACGCTGGCTTTCGACCCCCACATCCCAGGCGACACAGAGAGCTGTTTGGCCAAGATGGCACAGAACGTGTAAGATGTTTGCTGTAAATCAGCCCCAAAGAGGCTGTCAGACACAATGAAATAAAACCATCTAGAAGGTTGCTCTCCAAGGGCCTCTGTCCAATCTGACTCATGCTGCCAAAACAGTGGCCGAGACAGAGGCCTGGATGTTCCCTGCAGCCACTGCCTGTCTCTTCTCCAAACCCTTTACCAAGCCCAGGACCCAGGCTGGCAGGGGTGGTGGGGAGTGTGTG